ATTCTTCTCAGGCAAACCATCACAGTTGCTTGAATTATTATAACAAAATAAACCCTGATTATGGAAACTGTTTGAGTTTTCCTCTTCCACAGCACTATCCATTATCCCAAGAAACAGTCCCTTGTTTAAAACCACAGTGTGGGGTTTTTTTAGTCCAAAAGCCTTTTTTAATAGTCAAACAAGCTAAGGAGCCTTCTGAATGGTCTTGTCTCCTGAGTACTAAAAATTCCACCTGGGAATCTAGGTGGGCAAGGAAGCCTGGAAGTTTCAGGAAGAAAGCAAACCCATCAACGACTGGAAATGAATCTCAGATGTAAGCACAGGAAGGAGCTGAGGGTAGGTGCAAAGAGCAATTGTAGTTGTAGTCAAAGCAGCCTACAGGCTACTGCCAAAGGACCCACCTTTCTCATCTCCTGCTGTCTGCAATGATCCTCGTTAGGAAGTTAGTATCACTGCATGGTGCAAGAAACAGGTAGTCATAGACTTGAAAAATTGTTTCAAAGGGCCTAAGTCCCAATGAGGGAAAAAAATCTCTATACAGAAAGATCTTCATTAAGTCTGCCATAGGAGGGAGTTGTTGCAGCAGCATTTTTTCCTGCACGCTTTCTGACAGCAGTTTTAGCTTGATCAATATGGGAACATATAGGCACGATATAAGTCTTGGTCTTGAACCACTACAGTGCAAAAGAGGACAGAGGCACCAACGCTCTCACAACCTGTGCTTGGACATACTGTCAGAATGACTGTGTGGTCCAACCACTCCCTTCATGATGCATAGCTATATGCACCTTTTAAATTGGCTTCTTGCCAGTACATTCTCTTGCCAAAAGTAAGGGCTGTATGAATTAATTAATTTAGTCACAAATTGAACTATATTCTAATGTAATCTACTAAATGAAAGTAGCTATTAAAATATTTTTCTATTTTGATTTTGTGGATATATTGCTTTTACAGTTGTTCTCAAAGTTAGCTAAACCATATTTACCGTAAAACACTTCTTTAAAGTAGTGCACGAAGTGAAATGAAATACTGCTACCATCTGTGAATAATGTAATCAGGCAAATGAGGAATAATGACTACATTATGGTAATTTAGGATGGAACACAGTGAATTACAATTGTCAGCAGCTTGGTTTATAGCTCACAAACTTGAGAAAAGCACAGCATATAAAGAGTGGGGAAGGATTTAATCAAAATATCATTACGGAAGAGAACGTAAATGACACATGGCATTACTTTCCAAGGTCCACCACTCTTATTTGTATTTTGAAGTGTAACTGAAAACTTACCATCACACACATAGGGAAAGATAATTTCAGTGATACAGGGCTGCTCACACACATCACAAATCCACAGAGTTTAGCTCATAACTAATAATAAGAGTAATAATTCCATCCAACTCTTTGGGATTGTGGTAGGTAGGCAAGCAAATAATCTATGGAAATTCCACCAGATTCTTTCCATTTTCTAAGTTTCCTATCCATTCATAGGCCAGAGGTGCAAGTCAGTATTTTCCCTGCTCAGTATAATGACTTATATTGGGGATGATCTGCAGCAGAAAGCAAGCTGGAAGGATCCGGTTCTTCCCTACTCTGACATTCTTTAGAGGGGCTCAGCACGGAGTTATCTTTACCAGATTTGTGAAAATGAAATATGCTTTGAAATAGGGAAAAAAAATTCCATACTCTTTAAATCTACTTCTTGCATTAGGCAAGGAAATTCAAGTCCCTGTTACTAAAACGATGGTTTTTTAACTCTCCTTTAATTTCTTGTTCCATCTCCATTCTATTTATTTTCCCCTCAAGCATTTCCATAATCCTTTCACTGTTGTATATGAATACCTCTTGACCACTGATATATTTCTCTTTGCATCATCACAGTCAAGCAGAGAAGAAACAGGAACTGGAATAAAAACACAGAGTTATTTTCTCTGGTTACACAGGAAGCTTTGGTGGATCAATCCCAGCTACCCAAGTGTTGTTTAGCAATCCCTCCTCTCAAAGTTTCCTCTGTAAACATAGATATTTAAGAACAACTTGTCATTTGGAAAAATTTACTTGTCTGTATAAAATGTTTTATGACCATTTCTCCACAGGGCAGAAACTTCACAAACGTTTCTGAATTCCAGTTGGTATTATGTTGTTCACTGATGAAGACAACTGTCCATATTTTTTCTCCTGTCATAAAATATTTCTTCCACTTCCTGTTCCTGTAAATTACTGCACTGACACAAAGGCAAAAACCACCTGGTAATGCCCAGCGAAATTACAGTATCTGCCCTCAGAGAGGGTAGCTGCTGGCACTGGTAATAAATAAATAAGCAAACAGATAAATGTATACATGTCTAAATAAATAAAAGCTGTTCACTTTTTTGTCACCAGAAAACCAGATATTTTCCATATGTTTCTGCCTTCACTCATCTAGGAAAAATCCTAATGTACTAGCTCCATTCTGCCATGATAACACACTGGACACTGGACCAAAATCTTTTAGTAAGGATTAGTTTAAGTTTTGGGTTTGTTGGTTTGGGGTTTTTTTTTTCTTTTAATTCTGACTCTTTCATAAATAATGTTGTTTCATAAGAGGAACTTTTTTGGGGTGAATATCAGCAGAGGCTGAGAAGAGGAAAATATTGCATTTTCTTTATTATCATGCCATTCACTGTATAAAGACAACATTTCAACATGAAACACTATAAATTATGCTGTATCAGCTTATAAAAATCTAGATTTTCAAAATTTAACAATCAATCAAGATGACATCTAAGAAAATTCCTTGGAAGCCAATAAAAAGCCTGCATAGAGTGCACCACCCTGTACTGCTGCCCACTCCTTGCTCCCAGGCAATGATGCTAAAACCTGGCTCTCACTTCTGTTAGCATTTGGCCTCTCTGGAGAATTATGAAGGTGAAAAAGATATAAAATAGGTATTTCACATAACTTTCCGACTTGAAAATATCTGTCATCACCCTGTCTTTAATTTAGACTTATAAAAAATACATGACAGCCTTGTGCTTTACAGTGTTCATGATTATGTATGTCTTGGAGATGTACCACGACAACAGATTTCACCAGAATTTATCCTATTCCCAGAACTGATTAGGCAGTGCTAAATAAGAAAGCTTCTTTTGGAGCACCATGGCAATAACTAACAATAAATATGAGTAACATAAAATGTAACAGACCAAACAGGCGACTAAGATTAGCAAAGCAAATACTTGCTCAGTGAAACAGCCAGCAGAAGGCCAAGAAAAGTGAAAAGAGGAAAAACATAATAGAAACTCTCCTAAGGAAAAAATAACTATCATGTTACCAAAGTATATAATTACCTAGATCACCACAGTGGTTGTAAAGGGAATCATGACCTGCATATTTAACAGTCAGACCTGCTATTCCAGAATCAGCTGTAAGTGCTAAGTCCGCCAGGAGTACATTAAACAAAGATTTGAATTTAGAGAAATGTAAAATTATTGAGCAATTGGACTTGATTTTGATTTAACTACATCACTTTTCCCTTCACCTTAGTAAACTGGTATCATAATAAATGTAGGTGTCACTCTACAGGCAAAACAATTCACAAGTAAACCACGCAAAGTTGGAATTACAATTTTTAAAGTGCTCCACTCCAAACATGAACTTTAATCACTGCTGACCATGACAGATTGAGCTGAGGACAAAGTGATCTTTCAGAAGGTCAAGCAAACACAAATTGCTCAAAATTGCTCAGAATTACAGAGCTTTAAAATAAAAAGTAAAATTGCTCAAAATTACTGAGCTTTAAGTAAAAAGTGCCTTTCAAACATTACTGAGATAATCTCCTCCTTGACTCTGATTATTTTCTTTAGCATGAAGAACAGTGGTTCATTTTAAATGAAGGGCGAGTTAGAGAATGCATTATTTTAGAGATTCTCAAAACACAGACCGCAGAAAAATTTCTGATATTCTGAACATTCTTCTAGGGAAGTGATTCTATGAGGAATTTTCATCAATGTTATCTGCAAGGGAATATTCAGCAGTGTAGAAAACATACAACAGGATAGAGTCAAACCAGTAACTTCCATAGGAAGATTATGAACAAGGGAGTGGCAGTGGGGATGATGGGGAAGAGTATAGTAGTACATGAAGGAATATATGTTTCAGGCACAGAAATTAATACCACCTGCTTGGCCAAGTTTCTTTTGCACAGCAACCAAGGCAGAAAAAACAGAAGTTGTGTATGTCCAGGTAAGGTCTCAAATGTAGATGGGGCACAAGGCAAGACTGAGGAGCTGGAAAATATTTCCAGGTTCCACAGCTCAGCCTCACCTTTGGGAGGCAGATGTAGAAAACATATTCCTCTGAGGATCCTGGCAGTTGAGCTATTTTAGATATACACATTGAATGCAGAGCTAGAACTCTAAAGATTTTAACAAACAAGGAAAATATGAGCAAACGTGTTATTTGATATGCGAGGAGAACTATTTAATACATCACAGTCTAATAATAAATTTAACTACTTTCTGTATAGGAAAAGAGAAGCAGTGAAAGAGCTGACTTGGTGTAGGTCCATACCATGACATTTAAAATTTAAAAAGCTTAGTCCTGTCAAGCTCTTAGTCCCTTGGGTTTGGTGGGGGCAGAAGCAGGAGTTGCCAAGTATGATAGCTTCTTTAAGGCTGATGACATGTGATGTATGAAATCATAGAGACAGAGAAGATCATGTAGGCACAGCACTAGGCACATAAAATTATTAGGCAAACATTTAACAATCTAAATCTTGAAAAAGAAGTTTGAAAAACTACTTATATTCAGATGAATTTTACTGCTCATATAAGTAATAAAACTTCAATATTTAAGGTAAATAGTTAAGGCAGTTATAAACTCATAAAATACTATGCTCAAAATAAAACTGATCTGGAACCTTAAAACTCTGTTGTTTTTTCATAAGCTACTGACCTTTATTTCTCTCAAGATGAAGTTCACAGTGAAATTCATCAATAAGTAGCACAGATATATCACTTACCTTGCAGTCACAGCTTCCATGAATTCATCAAGAAGATCATCATAGGCTTGACCTCTAATTCTCTTGTGTCTCAGCCCAATATACAAAGGATCTTTCAGCAATTCCTGTTGAAAAAAAAAATGTTTGAACTATTACATGAGCAAGTTACAATACTACACTCTTAGCTAATAAGAAGGGGACAAAAATACAGTGTTTGAGGATTAAGCCAAGCATATGAAGTACATATCAATTTATCCACCTCTATATTAAGACCAAAGAAACATAAAGAGATTAAAGAAACACCCTTTTGTATCAAGGAAAAAGGATATCCTAGTCTCAAAGCAAGTGTAGAGTTTCCAAGTGAAAAAGTAAAGTTTACTCTGGGATGTCAGGTTTCAAAACTATCTTTTGAAGGTTTAGTTAGTAATTTTCTATTTTTCTTTCGTATTCTGAAAGTGCTCTGACATTTTTAAAAAGCCATTTTCATTATTTTATCATCATGTTTAACAATTCTCTCCCAGAGCCCATCATTTCAGCTGTGTTGATGAGTTGATACTCAGAAAATGTGCTGTTTCCTAAAATTTAACATACCAAACCCTTTGCCCTTTTCCTTCCAAACTTAGTAGATTATCATTAGTAGAATTAGTAGAATTCTTCATTTCAGCTATCCATGTTCCATCAGTTGGATATGATTTCTGAATTTTTCCAGCCCTAAATCTTGTACTTCTTTTTTTTTAGCTTTATGAGCCATACTTCCCATTAAAACACTAAGTCTGTATCATTCCATGTCTTCACTACTAGAAGGTCTGATATATTTCCAAATTAAAACGTACAAATTACTAAATTTTTATTTCCCCACAGCAAGTTTCACAGTTCCACTGGCTCTCCCAGGAACTCAGGTATAAAGACACTCTTTGTTATTATTTCTCACATGCCTCTAAAGGCAAATAAGCTAATTTCCCCATTGTGTAGAGTGTGCAATCCTCCCACACGTGCCCAAACAGCTTGCAGAATAGTCAGAAGCTTGGCTAAACATTTTTCATCCAAAAACAATTTGCAAACTCAACAGGGTGGCAGAAATCTTTTGTACATCAGCTTCAACTAGACAAACATTGTGAAGAAAAACACAGACCAACTCGCCTTTCCAAGAGAGAGTCTTCAGAATGCAAAATTAAGCAAAAAGTCTGGAAAGCTTTCTCTGCTTGACCCAGACTGTGAAACAGAAATCTGATTTCTGAATTTCAGAGAAGTGCCTAAATTCCCATCCCAGCTTTTTTTAATATATTAAAACTGAAAAAAATTCCTCCGGGCCCCCAGTTAAAGAATGATTTGAATAAGTATGAAACTTAAAATCTTAGGTGGAATTGTGCCTCCCTGGGACTACCCTGATGTAGACCTATAGACAGAGATGTCTGTCTCTCTCACTTTTCTCTCCACTTCCACAAAGATGTAAAGAAATAAGATTAGAATATTTTAGAAAGTCAAGCAGGTGTAAAAGCTGAATTTTCCTGCTAAATAAAACTTGCTGAATTAATCACTAATTCAGAACAAACTGTAATATATTACTTACAGCCATTCAGAAGTTGTTAGTTTAACTCTCTGAAGCGAAACATGAATAAAGCTCAAAATTAAAATTACTTTGCAAATGAAGGTGACATCATTACACTTTAAGTATTTTATTTTTCCCTTCACCAACACACTGTAGCATTCATGTCTAAGTAGCATATTACTTTTCAGAAATAATTTTGCCTGTGTATTCACATTATCATAAATATTCTAGCAGCAAAATCAAAATAATAATTCTGTACCTCTTCTAGATACTGCAGCAAAAACTGGCAAGAGTTTTATCTGGTATCTGTCAAAGTAATTGTCTCTTTTATAAGGTCTTCTTGCTTTGATATAATCACTTCAAACTTTGTAGTCAAGCTATTCTGTAGTCAACTATTTCTGAAATTATTTTTTTCATTTCCATTTTGAGTTTGTCTAGTTATTAAAAATGACCTCAAGAAAACCTGAAAAATCAATAATAAATTTATATATCTGGGATATGAATTCACAGGAAGTGCAAACTAGTTTTTTAACAACAGGAAATCTTCAGACAATTTTGAAGAGCCCATACAAGTTCTCTCACGCTTCCCACCAGATTGAGCACACAAGGCTGGAAAGAAGAACTGCCAAGCCTCAGGAGCTTCTGTCAGGAACATTACGGTAGGACTCAGAAACAGCAATCTCATTTCTAAAATCCCATTGCTGAATTTTTCCATGCCAGTAGGCTTCTGATATTCCATGTCCTGTGCATGGATACTGCATGTTTCACTGTCAAATCCAGAGTAAATAACTCAATCCCTTTCCAACTCCCCTAATTTTTCTTCCTAAATTGATTTTCTCTTTTCAAAGAGCTTCCACAAGCTTTTATTAAGCAATGTCGGTTTTCTCATTTTATAAAACTCAAAATTTAAAAAAGTGAATGCTCAAAATTATGCTCAAAATGAAAAATGCTCAAAAAACTGATGCTCAAAATGAAAAAAAAAATCTTTGGTCTCTTTATTTTTTAAATTCTGAAACACTTTGCAGCCAGACTGAATCAGTCTAATTCCTTCAAGGAGGTAGTTTAGACGGGCAGTGATTTTATGAAAGTTCAAGAGAAACAGGCATCACATTACTTAGTTTGAAAAGTGCTAAACCAGCCATGGGTCTGCCTTGAAATGTACATAGGCTCTGATACTCGTTTTGCTACTTCTGCATTTTTCATGTCTGTGAGCATTTAAATCTCTAGTCAACACAAAAACTCAGAACTCAAAAGCAGCTCCATTGCTAGGACCACTGCTTGAGTTTATTCACCGATCTTTGATGCTGAAATTTAATGTGGAATATTTAAAACAATTATTACAGTGTTTCAGGAGTATGTACAAACCTCTAGCCTGGGAAGTCTCACAAGCAGAGACAATTAATTTAGCAACACATCTCTGATGAAAAGCTTGGCCAGCTATATACTCAGAGTTCAGAATTCCTTTACAGCTCAATGCATTCTGCTTAACAAACGTTACAGTTTGACATGAAATAGCCCCAAAAAGTTCCTTTATGGTCCTGTTTGGAACAACGCATGAAGAAGCCCGTGGTGGACACAAAAGAATGAAACCTTCAGCAAGTGAAAAGAACAGTGGTCACGTCTGAGCCCTGAGTGGCAAACCATTGTGCACCCGCTCCCTTTCCAAAGGCCACTGAAGAATGAATAAGCTGCTTAAGCACATTATCCCCTTATTCAGGTCAACACCATGCAAACCAGGACCATGGTGCTTGTTTTTTTTAGAGGGTTCACACATCTTGAGAGATTAACATTTGCTACCAACTATTTCATGGCTTTCAAAATAATTACCAAAAAAAAAAGTTCTGTCGTACAATCCAGTATGTCAAACTGACATGATGATTAGGTGCTTTTCCTCAATGACTTGGGTTTCTTTTGTTACCCAGCTTGTTGTCAAAGCTTAAACTTTGTTTTGTTATTTTGGAAATCAAATCTCCCTCAAAACATAACTCTCCTTTTTCCAGGTTGGTGGGTTTGTTATGCATATCCCATGATAGTGAAAAAGTTGATGCCAGCTTATTTTTAGACATGTTTATTCTAAGACTAAAAAAAAAAAGTTCTGAAACATTTGAGTTTGAATGTGGTACATTAAAGCTATAATAGAAATAGTGTTTTCTAAGAATAAAGGCCTATTTGAAGTTCTGGTAGTGGAAATATCATGTATATTATTCAGAATTAGCTGTGCGAAATAAAGTTCTTTGAAGCACCACCTGAGCACATTAAAACTGTAATGACCTTTGGGGTTTTAAGAAAAAGACAAACCGTTTATGCCATCTTACTTAAAGAGATCAGCAAACCATCAAAGTTCAAGCAAGGCTGAGCTGTGCACCTGGCTCTAATTTAGCTACAAAAGCCAAACTAGTGAGAAACAGAAAACTGCACACTTAAATATTTCATCAGTTGAGCACAAATACTCTGAAATGTCATTTACTCCCAAACTTGGCATTGAGATGTTTCTTTGGAACAAATACATACTTTAGTGAACAGCTTCATGGAAAATTTTAGGGGAACATCTGCAAGACCCCGAGCCTTTCCAAAGGCAAAGATGGAGGACAGAGAGTTCAGAACCAATTAGTGCTACTTAGTGTTTGGTGTACAGTAATGCTTCAGAGTAGCAACTAACCCCACACCATTAAAATGCCAAAACCCTCCAGCAGTTCTACAATGAGAAATGATTTGCACTAGAGCCACAGTTACAGAGCTAAAAGAGAACTGTATTTGTATGGGACATCTGAAGCTTTGGGACAAAGACATGCCACATGCCAGAGATTAAACACATTTCAGAGCATGATTCGTCTAACAGAGCACACAGTTATCAAGAACACAAGGGGGAGGCCGCTGCTTTTTCAAGTCTTAATACTTCCTGACATTAATACACTCTAAATTCTTTTTGTAACTTTCTTGTCTCAGTTTTAACAGGTTGGGGAAGGTCTGGTGAGCACAGGAGGGTTTCTGTTCACCCGGAGAGTTGCATATTCCAAACTCTTATTTTTGTTCCACAAGATTGAAATTTCACTTGATATGAAACTTTTTCCAATAAAAACAGTTAGCCAGTAAGGAACATGCCAATGTTTTGGACTTAACTTCAGCTTCCATCAATACTCCTTACCCAGTAATCAATCTGCATTCATTTAAACTTTCAGTTTGTAAACACTAACATGCTGATTCATGATTTTCTGTCCTTCAAGAACTGCTTACAGCTGCAAAGTATTTTTCGCCACATTAAAAAGAGTGCATAAGATTTCAATTTATATTAGACTAGAAAGCCTTTCTCTTCTTTGAATAAGCTTGTTTTGAAGTCTGAAATACAGGATGATACCCTTAAAATGTGTAACAAATTCTATGTTTACAAATGCTAAGTGAATTTTGGATGAGTTGAATGCTACTAATTGGGTTTGAGGGTGTAGAATACTTTGCAAAAATAAGTTGCATAGTCAAAGATTTTAAGATTTTTTCTGAAATTTTGTTTTCTTTGAATTACACTAGCCATATGACATACTCACTAAGAAGAGATCACAGCTCCTCCTATATAAACCAGAC